AGACACCAAAACATTCGGTTCTAGGCAAAGCGTTTAAAAACCGTTGTTGAACAACATTTTCAAACAACGGCTAATTTCCTGACAGGAAGGAAAAAGTAGCAGGTTCTCACTGTTATGTCTTCAAGATTTTCTTTTGCACCAGTTGTTAGAGTACTAACAGATGGCACAGAAAACTTACGGTTCAAGTCCGGGGCTTATCACAGACTTCCCATGCGGACATGGATCAAACTGCTTGGTACTGGTGCGCTTCAGATTCCTCGTTCGAAAAGGCATAAACTTTTCCCTGTTTCGAGACGCTTACATATTGTGCTGAAGGACGTGCCGGTGTGGTGTCGGGGGGGTGGTGTGCACGTGTCTATTACACACGCTCTAGATCAAGGCACTCCAGTCTCAAGACTGAACTACTATACGACCCAGCCCTGTTTGCTTCCTTTTGGTGTTAAGACACTTTAAGCACCTGAAGAAAGACTAGCACGTTGGTAGAGGTTGTACTCATAGGAAGTAGCGTAATGAATAACCTGCAGTGCTCATGACAACTCAGTTCTAGGAAAAGGACAACAGATTTAGCTTGTATTAGTTACTGATCCCAGTGATCTTAATCACATCCACGTACTTCTCTTTCCAGTAACTCCAGAAAAGTTTTCAAGTCATTCTTAAGTCAAAAATAATCGCAGAGACTGCTCAGTCAAGCTCAGCTCTGGACGGAATAGGTGCCAGTCTAGCTCTGTTGTGACACCTGCGCTTCAGTCTCTCAAAAGACGTTCCAAGGAGGTGGTAACGAAAGCCTTAGAGTACAGATATGCGTTAGTCCACTTGACTTACTATATTTGTATAGCACAGTCCGGTGTTAGGAATTATTTTGGAACTCTTTGCAGCAATAAAAGCACAGAAAATAGTCTCCATGAAAGAGAAAACGGGGTTGGATGGGAAGGAAGAAACCAGAAACAGTTTTTTAAACCATAAAAAACATTCAAGGACAAGCTTTGAAGTTATTCATTAGTTGACAGAACATTAGTATGAATTGGGTCAGAAACTATAAGAGGGTAAGATACAGAGGAAACAAAAACAAATCCTGACCCATTCCCATACCGTAACAGAACAGTTTCAGAGGTAAAAAGGAGGAGAAATGCAGCTTCAGCAGATGAACATTCCTAGAAGTTGCATGGACAGGTTTACACATCAATAAAACAGTTTTGCATGGAAATAAGGTCATTATAGATCTAGTTTCAAACCCTGAACCAAAGGATGACATGATGCCAACTGACCTCATTAAAAAAAAAATACATGCACAAAACACCTGAACACAGAGATAAATGAAGTAGTTTAAGGAGATTTAGATATTTGTTTTCCCTGAAAAACTCAACTTGCAAAAATAATCAGTTTTACACACATCTCTTTTGTTTACTAAAGGCATTAAGCATTCATTCATATTTACAGGTGAAAAATCAATAGATCCTGAAAGGACCTGCAGCTGTGAAAACATCCATATGCAAGACTTTTTAAAAAAAAAAAAAAAAAAAGGTTCATTTAATTTCAAGTTTCAAGCCAGAAACTGTTAAGCATGCTTTGTTTTTTAAACATGCAAATTAAGATGTAGCAATTTCCACAAAAACTAAACCAAAGAAAGAAGCCTCATTTGATAAGAAGCCAAGAGGCAAAACATTTCTAATAGGAAACTGAGCATGAACTACATCGAGGATAAAGGATGCTATTGAAATAGCCCAGAAGGACTCCTTAGGCAGCCGCTTAAAAGCAAAGGCAGACCTGAGGCCAAGGCATTTAGGAGAGGTTTCATTGTTACACCTACAAACACACAGAAAATTCCTGTTAGAAGTTTAAGTTGCCTCTAAGTTAGGAGCTCTGACTCCAAATACAGTAAACTGTGATGAAAAGCTTTTGCTATTTCATGTTCAATTCCTCACTCAGCCAATTGAAAGACAGGCCCTGAAGACTACACCTTCTATCTTAAAGCATAAAGCTTCTTTTTCTTCCCTAGATTCATATTTTTAAAAAGAAACTTCAAACTTGTAAGCAAAAAAAAAAAAAAATTCCTATATAGAGTTAATGCCCATGTATGATAACATTATTCAAGGAGCAATCTTTATCTTTTTTAATTTTGGCCTCAACAACTGTTTTGTACTTTACGTCACTTAAAATTAGTACAATTTAAAAATATATAGAGACAGAGTTATAAAAACAAAAACATTAAGTAATCATAAGACATTTAGAATGCAAGGAGGTTTTCTCCCATGTACTAGATCAAACTAAAGTTATTGACAGAGCATGTTAAAAGGAGAAAACCTCATGGGTGGCCTTTCTCTCTCAATAACTTTTCCCTGTTCCTTCCCTAAAATGGCCCATTAGTAATCCTCCTTGCATTTTAAATACTAAAGAGGTTTGCACTGCTCTACCGACATGCCATACCTGAGCTGCCACAGGTTAGTAGTGCTTTGTTAGTCGATTTGAGATGCCCAGGAGAGTTTAGTGCATTGCTACAGGAGCCTGTCTCTGTATTCAAATTATGTGCACTTGGTGATGCCAGTGGACTGCAATACAGGTTTTTCCATCTACTGGCTAGAAGGAAAAATACAAGAAAGCCATAGAGGTTAACAAATTATTTTTAAAAAACAAAGAGCATAGGACAAAGGTAGGCATCAGGTCAAACATGCTTAAATATTATGTTTGCTGTACTTTAAATGAGACATCGCGATGGTGCTGGTTATAAGACACAGAAAGCAAAACAGTACCTGCTCCCTTGCTCGATCTCCCCCTTTAACCTATTCTGACACTTCTGAAGAATTCCAAGAAGAACTGCTAACAAACTTAGCCTTGAAAAAGACATACATTTCTTAAAGTTTCAGTTCTGATCTTCAAAGAGGACTGTCGTCATAAGTATCTGTTACTTTCCTACCCCACCTCCATTTAAAAAAAAAAAAAAAAAAAAACCTCCACTGAACTTTGTGTTTAAACACGTATCATTCTGAATTTTTAATAGGGGAATCAAAACAGCATTAAAGTACAAGCACCATTCCTTAAGCTTAAAAGGAGAGCAAACGAATATGAAAACAGCCTTTTTGAAATATTTATTCAACATGCAGACTTGCATATGAGTTAGTGAAACAACCAAAAAGAGGTAAGTAGCAAAACTTAGTGCATCCAGTCTTCCTGAAGCTGGAAATAAGCAGCTACAATGGTACAGAAATGACTGTGTCTATAACCCGTGTACATTCAAGTGACTGCTGAACTGTCCAAACCCTTGCAATTTAAAAACTGTAGCCAAGAAAATACTGATGATTCACTATGTAGGTGTGTGGGGCGGTGTAGATTTATACAGATAGTAGATCACACAATGTTTTAGGTAAAAAAAAAAAAAAAAAAAGGACTGATAGAGTATATACAAAGCGGGATACATTTCAAAAAGAAAACAAGGTTTTATTCAAACTAAGCATCATTCAGTTTTTAAGTGCAGCTGGCTTATAAAAGTAAATGAAAGAGCTTCTTAAACCACATTCAGTTATCAAGAATTTCAAGGTCAAACTCAAAATAAGTCCGATTATGGGCAGTGCTAAAGGCACCGTTAGTATGTAAATTCAAAAAGTAAGTGGCTTCTCTGACTTCGAATCACTGAGGTAGAATTACTGGTGAAACTGGAATCAACGTTATTGCATTCCTATAGAGACAAAGCTGACCAATTCAAAACCTTAGCAGGCCACCACACCAATGTTGTCCAAAAGTCGTGTCTTTCCAGCAATTAAGACCATCACTGGACTTCAAAATGTTAATTCTCTCAAAAAAGTCACTTTCTCAAACAAAACTGCTAACCACGGTCTTTGCATTTAGAGTTTCATGACTCAAAGCAGGCAGACGGGGTTGCTTTCCAACCACCAGTTGTTAGAAGAAAGCAATAAAACTAGTCATCCCACCAGCTGCAGGTTAAGTCACAGCTGCTAACATAAGAGATTTATAAAATACCCGAACAGATTACTTATTCACTTCAAATCCCTCACTGTTTTATCTATCAGTGATTCAGCTCAGCACTTATACATTTTACGTTGAGGGTGACAGAGCATTGGAACAGGTTGCCCAGAGAGGTAGTGGAGTCTCCTTCCCTGGAGATATTCAAAACCCGTCTGGATGTGATCCTGGGCAATATGCTCTAGGTGACCCTGCTTGAGCAGGGAGGTTGGACTAGATGATCTCCAGAGGTCCCTTCCAACCTAAACGATTCTGTGAACCAGGAGTGTATTTGAAAAGACCAAGGAAGGATACCCACCAGATGGTTTACCAGCTGATGTACTATGGATATGTATAAACATAACAACCTTCTCAGTTCTATAATGAAGCAAACTGTACATCTATTCTCACAGCTCTTGCATTAGTGAAAGGCTAATACGGAACTGATTGTTTTGCATTCTAATAAAGGGGAAAGGAAAACAAAAAACCCAACAAACGTAAAGCTGCAGAGCACAGACTTAGGAAGTGGCATGCGACTACTGAAGAGAACGTCCCATAGCATTTTTCATTTCAGATAGGTTAACCACCAAAAGAGACTCTCTTAAGTTCAGTAACACAGCCGAAAGAGCCACCACGAAGCGCTTTTAGGAAATGTTTAAACTGAGAGGGGCGTACCTGTTTTCCAAGTGAAAGAGTTTATTCAAACTACAGGATTCTAACATTTCATAGACGCTCGATGCTAACAGCTTACAATAATTTTAATCAGGTTTAAAAATAATTGCCATTATGAACACTAAACTTTTTTTTTTTACATCGAGAAAGCTATATAGTTTCATGTAGTTTTCCTCTTAGAAAGATATTTTTCTCTATATTTTATATTAAAAATATTCAAGAGTATCAATCAATTATGTCATCAAATAAGAGTCTGAAAACACTGAAATATGTTTTAGTGTTTAGGCTCTGAACACATTAAAAACAGAAAGGTGATCATTTTGGCATTAAACTTGAAATACCTATATTTATAGTTTTAAAAAAAAGTGAAAGAGGCAAAAAAGTTACAGAGGTTTGGTGTATTACTTGTAGTCAGCAGTTTTCTTAATGTTTACAAAACAATCTCTTAACTGCATTAGTTGATATAATATCATCGTATATCAAAAGCAGAGAGGTTTTTATACCGTGACAAATTTGGCTTTACAAACGTGCACTAAGAACACAACGTTTGAAGGTGCTATCTCTGCAGATATTCTCAGATACAATACACCGCAAACTTGATATCTCTTTCATTCTACTATTTCTTAACGATATAAAGATGTATATAAGATGAAATAGAAGGAACTTGAAGTAGCAGTGCTAGTTTACATACCTTGGTCAAGTCTGTTTATAAGAGTTCGGCAGGCTGCTTCTGTCTCAGGACTGGGATTGTCCAAAACCTGCCGGCACCATTTTAAAGGTGAGCCCGTTTTCTGATCTCCAGCTGATTTTCTCGGGGAGACGTACAGCCTTATAGCAAGGATTGAAAGGAGACAGTGTAAAAGCTCATTAACCCAAAGCATGCAGCCAGAGAAGTAATATTTCCTAAAGTAAACCTAAACTCTTTTATCATTTAGTGTTTAAAAAAAAATAAAATCCTTTTATTAGATTTAAATTGTAAACTATGACTCAAACCACATATACTGTTATGGGAATTAAATTCACTTAATGATGGCTCCACAGAGAAAGTACACAGCCTCTACAAGGCAAGCTTAAACCTGCCGGTATAAGAACGCTACTGGAACATTAAGTTGTCTGATACTGATTTCTAATCTGTCCACTTTTCATCACCTATTGGCCCTTCCTCTCCCCTCCACAAACGTCTCATGACAAAGATGCTACAACCACGCGTCTAAGCACATGCCACTATCAATAATAAAGAACCAAGCTCTAGGAGGCACGTAGTTGAGATCCAGTGCCTCAGTTCTGGATGCTCTGAAGTTACACACTAAAAAACCATACTTAAAAAACAGGTGTTAATTACACTGTCATCACTAACAACATGCTCTCAGTTAAAACGTATCACCTGAGTCCACTCTTTGAGGAAATTAGTATGCAAGCTATGCTTTCATGAAGCGTTCAATAGCAGGGAGAGCGGTAGAGGTGGGGAAGCGGTTCTAATTTAATATTAGATTGATCCTCTTTTAAAAGAAGTCTTTAACAGTATTTCTCTTTTGTTAAAAAACAAACAAAACTAAACCAAAAATGCACACAGCTCTGGATATTCCCCCTGTACTGCACTGCAGAAAACATCCGTCTCTTATCTTCTAACAGCATCTCTCTGGGACACTAAATGAACAGTACAAAGACTGACCACAGCCCTCCGGGACAAATAAAGGAGAACAATACCGTGATTTTAATTAGAAGTTTCAAAAATCTTCACATAGCTAGTATGAAGAGTATGCTACCTTTTCAATTTTTTTGTTGTTATGTTAGACGAGTCCTCCTAAAGCCTAAGCTTCTGTCAATTCTAATTCACCTGGCATGCTATTTTACATATAGATGCAGGATTAGCCTTACATATAAACGGATATGATCAGCTTATACCCCCAGACTATTTACAACTGATGAGTAAAGTAGCATCTTAATTGTATTTCATGAAAGTTTCTCTCCAGAAAGGTTAAAGGGTATAGGAGCCACACTGAAAAGCAATGCAAGAATTTTATTTATACATCCAACATTCATAATTTCAAAGTCATAAAAAATCCCAATCAATTAAAAAAATTAAAGTATCAATAGCAACCAACTTGAAAAATATTTATAAGAAAAAAGTCAGTATTTTATAAAACTTAAAACAGATCTTAATTCTTGTATGTCATTTAGTGAAGAACACTCTCACGTAGAGCACCTTGCAATCTCAATCAATAGCATGCCAGAGGTGAGCCATCTTTGAAGTAATAAGCACAGTCATTAAGAGAATTTGTCCACAACAACAAGAGGTTTCCTAGAGATAATAATACATACCTTACTGTTTAAATATTGGAGTTCCAACTGTTTAGTCTTAACACACATACGTTAATACATTTTGCTGTGCTGTGAATGCATTTGGTAGCTGTGCGTGCTACAAAGAGATACTTAATATACTCTTCTGCTGAACTCATTCAAAGGATCATAAAAACGATTCACAGGTAGGAAAATACACTTACACTGACAGACTTAAAGAACTGCAGCTGTGCAGTTTATCACAGAGTCTGAGAGATGACTATCAGTGAACACAGAAAAAAGCAGAGGAGATTTCTGAAAACAAAAACATTTTTGATCTTGTTAACAAGGCCGTAAGGTTCTCAAATTTCTATTTTCAGCTATTGAATTTGTCCACAAAGTAATTTCTTAGCATTAAGGGTACCAAAAGAGGTGGAAGACTTGCCAGCTCTTTGAAATTTAGCTATTGAATAAGTTTCTAGAAGAGATATGCTTTGAGAAGAAATTCTGTGGGATGAATGCACAGGAATCTGATCTATAAGTCTGGTTGTCCTTTGCAGGCATGAAGCCTACGGCTCTCAAGCCTATCTTTCTCAAAAGGCTGTGAATAGCTGTTCTCATGGCCTTCAATGAGCACAATAGTTACATTTCTGCATCAAGAAAATTCTTAGTGTAGGCTTCATGGATCATACTCTCCTATGAGAGTTAGAGAGATGTGCTATGGGCACAATCACACAACAAAACTCCTGCTCTTCCCAGCACCACCTCCCTCTCAAACATCAAATCCCATAGCAGTATATCAGCTGCTGCCAGGTACAATGAACTGCTTTAAAAAGTCCTCTTGGTCATCAGCAAACCAGCTATAGTGACATTTGATGCAACTGATTTAAATTGCTCCCAACAGCTCTCTGCCCTATTGGAAGGTTGTTGTCCACACACAAGCATAAGCATAATATTTCACCTTTCTCAGTGCAAAATCCAGCATTTGAGCATAAAAACGATCACGAGGATGGTTTTAACATTTCAAGGAGTCTGCATGCACTTCAAATCCCTCCTACTCTCTCTTCTAGCTTTCAGAAAAATGTAGAGCTAATGGCAATAAATTGTTATACTACTGCAACAAGACTCAAGTCTTTTTCCCCAGTTACTCAGGTTCACTCAGATTTCTCACTTTTAATTCATAAAATATTCCTAACCCCAAGAAAACTAATATAAATCATTAGATATTTTAGTAATCATACCATTGATTTCTAGAAAAACCCTCATGTTTAAAAGATTTAGGAGCGTACTATTCAACACTCAGTTTTCAGATGTTCTCTCCATGGAAGCTTCAGTGTTTTTCCAAGACAAAACATACAAACAACTGCAGTACTTAAAATACTGTCCTTACATCAAAATATCCATCTAACCTTTTACCCTGTCTCCTGTCAATAGCAGGGAGGCAAGGATAAGTATAAAAACAGTTCCATTAATACGCAGAAAGCTGCCCCGGATTCCCACAATCTCATAACTTGGGGCTATCAGCTTGAGCACCCCTGTATGCGCAATACAATTTTTTTTTCCAGTGAAACTATCTAAGCCTTTTTGAATACATATCTGCTTTTATCATCCACAGCACCCTACTGCAATGAGTTCTACCATGTACTGACACGTTGTATGAAGAACTACCTCTATTCCCTTGCTTTGAAGCTGTCACCTGCTATTTAGAGTTGATATTTCCCAGTTCTTGGGGAAGGAATAGGGGTGGAAAGCAATTATTCTCTGTTGCCCTTTGACATGCCACTCATGACTTTACATGCCTCCATTACACTGCGACCCCTGGCCAGACACCTCTTTTTCAGGGTGCAGAGCTGCAATCTCTTTAGTCATTTGTCAACAGAATTTTTTTCATAACAAGCTTTACACAAAACCACAATAAAACATTCTGAACGCTAACTTGCTATTGACAAAATAAACGATGAGAAAGACAAACACAACTATTCTTGAAAGTGCAATGTTATCTATTTTAATCCAATAGAACAGAAAAAGCAAAGTGCTTTCTCCCTGGATTTATTTTACAGTTCAGACCAAGAAAGCAGCAATAAAACAATCAAACAGAAACGTGGTCAATAATCTCCTCGGGGCAGAGTGTGCTGTTCTTCACATATTTTAGATTAAGAAAGAAAAACCTTGCTCTACTTTGGGAAGTTCTTGTTATAGCCAGCCTCTTCGGAGGGGTTGCTTCTAATCATGTTTGTACCTGGGACTGCATCAGCCAATAACTATGATGCCTGTGTGATTGCTAGAAGCCCGTTTCGTCATGCAGCAGGGCTACCTGCTTCCCAGGGTGTAGAAGTTGCCTGTACTCTGTCAGAGGACTCGCATTTTTCAGCTAACAAGTCTACTGGCAAAAGACGGTCTCACTTATAACTTCACTAAAGACAATTAAACAACCTCAACTCATTTTTTCAGAACATTGCCAGTCACTTTTTATAAAGAGATGTCTTTAGAGGAACTCTGGCTTGATTTCTCAACGTCAGGTTTGCTCTTACTTTCTAGTCACTTTGGAGAAGAGCGTAACGTACTTACCAAGCCAATTTCTTAAAATACACTAGCATAGCTTATTCACTTGAAACACTACAGTCAATCTGGAAATTAAAAATACCAGCCCCACTAATATAAGTGAACATTTCTCCAGATACAACATAACGGAGTGAGAGTCACTTTTTACTAGAGATTCCCCCCCACGCTCGCCCTCCGTTAGCCACCTTGGCACAAGTGCCGCAGCAACAGAGGACAGGTTAATAGGGTATCACATTTCTAGCTTACCTAAAACAAGCCAGCTTCTTCTGACAGAGGTTTATACGATAAGCTAAATTCACTCTGCTCAGTTTAAAAATAAGAAGAGTTTTGGTAGTTTTATCCTTTAAGGCCATTTGATTTGTCAGGAGAGCTTAATCCAATAAGCACCGGAGAAAATGTACTCAGGCATATCCTTAAATGCGCCTAAGGATTCCAGTTTATGAATAAGCCAAAGTATTTTTTTTGATTTGACAAATATCTGATTGCTGAATAAGCTTCACCTTGAATTTGTTCCTACAGCTCTGCAGTTTGGCATGAAGTAAGTTTTATTTAAATGGCAAAAAGTTATGTTCTGAATACATTTTTGTCAAAAATTTTGATGATAATTAAGAAGCTATTTAGCTAGCTACAAGGCCTAATACAAAATGCAGAGAGTAAACGTTTGGGCATATACCCAATATATTAGATTGAGAGTATTTCCTGTGAACTCATTAAATATGAATGAGGCTTTCCTTAGCTTCTGTGAAGAAACTATTAGATAAGGCATATCTAGTTTCTGCTTTCTAGTGTGTATTTTTCCCCCCCATATAAAGCATTTTGTGAAACACACCTCTGGTTTTAGTGTGCAGCCAGCGCAGTATGAGACTATTCTTCCAGTTAAGAATGTGGGCTACTCTACTCAAAAATAAATTTATGAGGTTTTTTTTTTGTGTGTGTGGTTTATTCCAACATACTGTCTCTCTAGAGACAGTATTTTTCTTTTGGGG